ATAGATATAGATATATTGTCTACTTCATGTAGCTCGGAACTGTGCGGGCTCATCATCCGCAATATGTTCTTCCTCCGCACATGTTGGACACTAAACTTCTGTGTCTTATCCTTCCGCCCCACAGATTCTATCCGATCCTAACGAACGCAAAATCTACGATGAGCGGGGTATGAGTGGCATCGATGCCTCCAAGCAAGGGGGTGGCGCGGAGGCGGCCAAGGAGATGTTCCGATCGGTACGGCTGCATTGTGTTCTAGTAGTTTTTCATGCTCAGTCTGGGGACGTGTGCGTGGTTTTAGATTCGGGTTGTATTGCGGCCACACTCCATTCACCTTCGTTGGGTTCTGTGTTGCGAGGGGTGTTTTAACCTGGAGTTGTGGTGTGTGACGGTCGCATCAGCCAACGATAATTGTGCAACAACTATATTCTCATCGATGTTGTTGCACTCATGATGTTTATCGGTGTTGTTACACTCATGATGTTTATCGGTGTTGTTACACTCATGCTGTTTATCGGTGTTGTTACACTCATGATGTTTATCGGTGTTGTTACACTCATGATGTTTATCGGTGTTGTTACACTCATGATGTTTGAGCTTGCTGTATGGGTTCGTAACTCCTTGGGCATGGAGGGATTCGTGGCCTCTCGAGCAGATGGGGTATTCACACATGTTACAATGGTCTACGCGGGGGTTGGTATGTTTGCTCACAGATTGAGCCTGCGTCAATCTGCTACTTGATCATAGTATTTGTTCGCATCCAGGTCAATTCGACCGTCTCGTTCTCCTTGTCTGCTGCCAAGTACCACACCCAATCAGCAGCGGTATCACGGTGTACCCTCATTTATAGCAACACACGATAGCAAGGCCCCGGCGAGAAGTGCGGTACTGCGCCTATGTGGCTGTGTGGACTGAAGTTTATTCACACCCTGCTCATACTCGAGCAGTACGCCATTTGATAGAGGTGGTCTTGTCTGTATCCTGGTCGAAGCCAGAGAGTATCGACTTTGTTCTCGACATGTGCACAGACTCACATTATATATTCGCACACAATAACTCATGCAGGTCTTCGGAGGGGACAATTTCCTGGACATCTTTGGCGAGTTAGACATCATCGAGTCCGTGCTCGACATGTTCGATGAAAACCTCGCGGGCATGACGGAGGAAGAGCAGAAGGCAAAGCTGGCGGAGAAGGAGAAGAAGGCCGCTGAGGCAGCCGAGGCCAAGAAGGAGAAGATTGCGACAATGGCACAGAAGGTATGTGATGGGCTCTAGGGTGGGCGGAGAGATGCGTGTCTCAACCTCGCGGATGGGGTAGGTAGTTTGTAGAGCTGCGCTGGTTAGGGTCAGCTGTGTGCTCGGTTGTTATGGGCTAGGAAGAGCGTGGTGTTGGCGTGGAAGGAGTGCTTGACAGGTTGTGGAATGCAGAGTGCGTCTGCCTGTGTCCCTATGGGGTGTGTGTGTGTGTCATGG